AAGATCCAGAAGGTTTTGCATTCCCAACTTATCAAAAAACATTTCTGCTTATAATAATAATTCATAATTAAAATCTTGAAGTAACAGTATGTACAAACATTTTCTGCCAATCTCCCCCACACAACACAAATCTTTAAAAAAAAATAATGTTTTAAAACAATACAGTGACAACGTCGATACAAAATGGACTCACTTATATTCCAGCTGTTGCTCGCGGGATTTAGTTCAAATGGAAATGGGCAAATATTCATCCAAATTATATATTAGACATTTAATATATGATTTGGATGAATATTTGCATAATTTTGAAAATAAAATCGTAATCTCAAAGGCAAAACAGGGAAAAAGTTAAATGAGTAAGTACGTCGTTAAAACGAAAATGAATTTATTAAATCCTTTGTTGTCTTGCTGACGCAAAGAAAAGCCATTGAAAGACTTGACTATAACAAGAAAGTTCGAGACAAGAAAAGGCAAAATTTGCAAGGCTGCACGTTTATGCCGTGTTTATTTGCACCCAGAGTAGATGTATAAAGCAGTGAAGAAAGTTCAAAATACTGATATAGCGTACACATCTTGGTATACAATTGTTAAATATATTCTATGAAAGCGTCCGGACCGCGTTATATTAAATAGCGTTTGTAGGAGTATTCTCGTAAAACCGTTTTTTTTAACAATACAAAACCTAGGAACAAGAATTTAATATAATTGAAACTGGTACAAAAGTACGCAAAACGAATAATTGACTTGACAAATCATTATACATTTCACACTACAAAAATTTAACTTGAGAAATCTGCGCGTTATAGGGGGCCAATATCGCACTATATGGGGGGTGGCTGTATTTATAAGTTGCCCATCTAAATGGATAGTGTAGGCTGTTTATTGAGGTATGCGCTATTGTGAAGCATTTGTTAGTCCACTCTAGAGACATCGTTATATCCAGCTTAAGTAAAAGACCATGATGCTGTCGTACATCTGCCGCTTATTTGTTTCGACTATGTATTTCCGTGTTGTTCCCACGAGAATGTAAGTGCGTGCACCTATTTCACCATGCCTCCTACTGATAGAGGACAAATCTTTGTTTTAAATTTATTTTATTATTATTTATTACTTAAGATGTCATGTGGAACATGGTATAATGGTTGCAGCTCCTTACAAACGTTGTGTAAAACAAATACTTGGCGATTAAAAAGAGTGGCGGAGAGTTTATTGCCAGTTCTTCTCTTCCGTTCTACGCCCTTGATTTGAGAACTGGCAGTAAATGTAAAATTAGAAGCATTTCTTTTTTTTGACGTTTATAAGTGTACATTGTGTTACCTACATGAATAAATGATTTTTAACTTTGGCTTTGACTTGACTATCCCCCTTTTTCAATTCAATCATTACGATGTTCTACCCTAAAGTAAAATTTTGTATATGATTGGATGAAAAAGATAGAGAATGTAAAACGACACGAACGATGAAATAGTTTTTATAGAACAGAGGGCAAACGGGTAGGAGAGGAGGCTCACCCGATGTTAAGTGATACTTGGACACTACATGGACACATTCAATGCCAGAAGGCTCACAAGTGCGTTGCCGGCCTTTTAAAAAATTATACGCTTCATGAAGGACCTTAAGTCGAATAGGTTAGGAAATACTTCAGTGGGCAGCTGGTTCCACATAGGGGTGCGGCAGAAATTTCCTTCAGAAACGCTCAGATGTGGAACGACGGACGTCAAGGTGGTACGGGTGGTATTACTGATGGTAATATGGCGGGCATGGTCGAATTTCTAAGGTATGCAGGGTATCGAACCTTAGATAGGAGACTATGAGGTTTGGGATGCATGTAACAGCATAATGTCCTAATTCATTTCTTTTTTTAGGATAATACATTCAAAAAATAATAAATCTAAATCTATCCAATCGCTCATTTTAAGCAAAACCAAATGTTTAGAGCGTAATGAATGCGGTAAAATTAATATATAATTCACAAACAAACAATTAAATTTATTATTAACTCCTATCAAAATACCACAAGAACCACATCCCTTTACAGTTTAGGGAATACCGAAGCTCCTTTTCGATTGCAGCAGTGTATTGTCCTATAATATGTTAACCAAGTGTATAATATAGAGAGGCCAGTGCAGGGCGTACTGGAGGAAAATGGAGGAGGCATACGTCCAGAAATTGATCAAATAAAGAGGCTGATGATGATGATTATAACTTTAAAGGCCAGTCATTATTTTTACAAATTGTTCGTAAATAAATAAGAATGTAATATTCAAGGGAAATATGTACCGCCTGAGCCGAGCGTACCATGACTCATTGTCACGTTCCGCCTGATCCGAGCGAATTGAATAGTATAGAAAAAAAATTAATTTTCAATTAACTCCTTCTTTGTATTATAGAAATAAAATGATAATTTTGTGATAATAATTCTATTCAAGTCATTAAAATATGCAATTTTCCATCAATGTTTTCTTATGACATTATCACGTAATTTATCGTCCATAAACTGACTTTACAGACAACCAAACTTTTTTGAAGTAAAACTTCTTTAGGCGCATGAGGGTAAATTTTTTACTGAACGTCACGAAGATGTGCAGCGTTTTTGTCGAAGAAAAGGGAGAGAGCGATAGAGACCGATTGGGAGAGAGTGAGAAGGGCGAATTAACTTATAGATATTCTATTTTTAAAATTAAAATTTCGTAAAGAGAATTTATGAAATATTATAATGTATTTTATATGTTATGCAAAATAATTTATTGAAATGACTAATTGTAAAATAAAATGCCACGTGTTTTTATTATCGAAGAAATAAATTAAAAAACTAAATTTATCATTTGTATTAAGTATAGACACTTTTTAATATTGACAATTAAATTCATTAAATTCCTAATATACCTATTTTCCTTTTTCCTTTTACCCTCTCTCTAAGTCTCGAAACTCTAAAGTTTTAGAATTGTATGAATATGAACAAGAGTTAAAAATTAGTTAGCCCAAGAAGTTTCACTTCTGACATGTGTACTGTGTACGCACGCATTTTTTTTTTCAATAAAAAAACGTCACTTATCAAAGATATGGACATCAGGTCGTATTAAATAATTTGTACGGTATTATTGAGCAAGCGCTTTATATGGTCCAAGCCGTGACCCACTGACTCCAGCGGCACATAAATGGACCATACAAAATCAATCTCTGCGACGCAATTTTTAGAGTTGAAAAATTATAAGGTACAGACCTTCATACTTATTTCAATTATTGTTTTTCATTTAATAAAACCTTAAGTACCAAATGTTGTCCTTTTACTTAAACACACACATTTACATAAACTCGCGCGCCATTTAATTAGCCATGCTAAACTAAAAAAAGCGACTAGTATGTTGTTTTAAATTAGAAGTCTAAACCAGAAATGCTGTCACTTATAACATTATACACAATTACATTTTATATATTGATACGTGCACAAAGGCTCTTTTATTTTATTATAACTTATTAACGAACGAATTAATAAAACCAGAACTTATTCATGTTAGTACCTAGTTAATATATATGTACTTAATAAAAATCTATGCCATAATTAGTAACAGACAGTAAAACAACATAGAAGTCATAGAACCTATTAATAACAGACGACACTTTTTTCGTTATTTTTATTTCATAATCCACAATATTTTTATTATTTAGTTTCCCGCCACTACTAATGACTCTACAAATAGGACAACTCAAAGTCGCGTTCGTTTTTCTTCGTGTTTCACAACTTCTAATGGCTACTTGGCGCCAATCAATTCTATTTTAAAAATTTGTTTTTAATTTAATATAACAGGCACGTGGCAGGCAAAAAAATAATAATTAGTTTACCTTCATTTAATGTCAGCGCATTTGTCGTCAGTGCCAGTAAGGACAAAAGGGTGAGGGCGCGAATGGCCCGGGAAGCCATATCTGCTGGAAATTACAAAATGTAAGACGTAAAAAAATTATACCATTCCATATTTTTGTATATTTTTATAAACTGAAGCATTATTTTTGTTTAGAGTATGTTATTTTAGATTTATAATATACACTTTTTACAGAAATATCTTAATATTTATTTATAACCTGTTACCAAATATAAAAAGACTACTTACTAACTTTTTAACAGAAAAATATTTAAGTTGTCGTTATTAAAAAAATATTTATGTTGTCGTTATTAAAAAATATTTGAATTAAATTGAAGTCTACCTTTAAGTACCAACCTTTTAATGTATGCCTTGTAAATTTTTATGAATTGATAATTTATTACTACGCACAAATATTATTTATTTTATGTCCAATAACTGCCGGCATGTTATTTGAAATTATCTTGGTAAGTGCGCGTGCGCAGCGAACCAAGTTAAACTAACGCGCCTCAACTATTTGAATTCTTGGATTTTTTTCTGTAGGTCGCACCTTGTGATTCATAAAATCTACAGATGACAGTCGACAGGAGACGCCAATGTCATATAGTTACTTATACTGTTAAGTGATTCTTTCCAGTACAAATATATTTTCAAATAAAAATAAAATTTAACAGTTGATTTAAAATTTTACTAAATCCTATTTTACACATTCCTTTATACCTATAGATTCTAGAAGTCTATGCGTTAAGATTTTAGATATATGGCAACACACCGAGTGTACATAAAATAATATTGACGCTTAACAGTGTTGCCGTTGTGAGATTTGTGACCGATTTCGGGGAACTGACTGTTACAGCAAACTCAATTTTTTCCATACAATTCGGTAAAATCCGACCCCATAATATTATATATTAATTACTTGTTTTAAACATGATAAAATAACATACAGTAGTGATGGTTGTCAGAATTATGTAAGATTTATTTCAACCATAGCTTTGTATTTATAATCAAATACCATTTGGGTTACTTTCAATTGAACAAACGGCAGCACTTGTAGTTAGTTTGGGAAGAGTGACTTGTCTGTTAATGTAAATGTCATAGTTATCAGAAATTTCAAGTGGAAACTGGAAATTAATCGCGATGGCTGAAAATAGAGAAGAAATTCTTGCCAATTTTCAGGTGAGTAAATAAGATATAATTTAAATTTTACTATAGGAAGTTTATAATAATTTCATTCTAGTTATGCAGGTTATGTGATGAACAAAAACAGTGACTTTTTTTTACTATATCTGAGCTTTTATAATTTGTGTATGTAGTAATTGTGACAAATAAACTATTAATTAAACAACGTTCCTTTCCATTTACTTCTAATAAAATTCTAAACAAAATTGTTAGTTTTCGAGAGTAATCTAACAATGACATTGAGCCTTTGTTTTGTTTTATTTACGCATTAATCGATATGATTTCCGTTATTGCATTTAATTTTTACATAAAATGGTACGTATTTGTACTTGCAGACCATTACTAATGTTGAAGATGTCGACGAAGCATTATTTCACTTAGAAGAAAGCAATTGGGATTTACTGGTATGTATTTAAATGTTATATGTTCTTTGTCTATTGCAAAAACAAATTTAAAACTATATACATTGTGAAATGTTGTTTTAGTCTGCAATAAACAGAGTGTTGCCTCAAGATGGTAACTCCACAACTCAGACAAATAATGCACAAGATGAAGAGATGATTGATGATGACATATCTGTGATAACTCCAAAAAATCACCCACCTGGTAAATATTATTATTTTAATACTGTTTTAAAACCAATTTTTTTTGCCTTTGTCAAGCTTTAATCATTTTTAAAGGTAGGTATGAAGTTTTTTGCCAGATCATCCACTCGAGTGTTAACAAAGGAATTTATTATTTAATTATCTACTTACCATTTTATATTAGTGCTTTGTTATCTCACTCATAAAATAAATTTGATTTTAAGAAGAATATTCTATGAGTGAACTTAATAAACTTATTGAATATACTAAACGCACAGTCAATAAAAAAGTGGTACTTGTGTTACTTTAAATGTGAAAGAAGAAAATGTAATTATATTTTTAGATCGGCAAGATAATAATCAGGCTTCAACATCTTCATTAAGAAACAGCTCCTCTGATTTAGTAGAACTTCAAGTTAACTGTAATAATAAGATAAAAGAAATTATTATGTCTGGTTCAGCGACTGTCAGTAAGTAGTACAATTTAATAGTTTTTATATTTAACTCAAAGATTACTTGACTATATATATTTTTTACAACACAAGAAGAGAATTTTTTTTGTGTGCACTTATAGTTACAATTGGACCCAATTTTCACTATATAAAGAAAACCATGCCTTCAAAATGTTGATCAGCCTTTCATATTAAATATGGCCGAAGATACTGATAGGATTTTAGTGCAGTAGAAATTTGTTTTAAATTGAACTTTATTTATTTACATATCAGAGGAAATGTGAATTTATTGTAGTATTTAACTTGATGTTTTAATGGTAGATACATTAATTTTTTTAATAGTTTAAAAAAATTAATGTATATTATTTGTGTAAAAATGTAGTTAGATATTTCCTAACAGACTCTTCCAAGGTATTTAATGTAAAGGAATATCTGTTAATTATTTTTTTTTATAATCTCTAGAGCTAATCTTTAATATGCTATTCAGTGCTACAAATGAAATTAAAATTTCCTTTTTGTTATCCATCAGGTGATTTAAAAAATCGTTTAGAAATGGTATTTGGTATACCAGTGTGTCAGCAACAGATATCAGGACTGGGTGGGTCAAAGGCTACGTCCACAGCACTACTTTCAAGTTTAGGTCTAGCCAGAAATGCCGTACTTCGGTTAAAAGCTGCAGATGGATTGATGGCTGATGAAGAGTGAGTATTTTCAAATATGTTACAAGCATATTTACTGTGAACACAAAAGGAAAAACTTACTGCTATATTACCAATACTCAAAGGTATGATCTAGATTGACAGTTGGCTTCTTAACCATTAACAGGCTAAAATTTAAAGAAATTGATTACAATTCACAAAATTATATTCTAATGTAAACACTTACCTTATTATTTATACATATTAATAGATTAGACTTGCCTTTAAATAAATATAGTTTAATAATAAACCTATATATATTTTACAAGCGAATGCATTTGTTGTATTTATTGTAACCGGTATAATATTTATTTGAAATATGTGTACTAGGGTAGCAGAAAGACTGACAACTACATATGTTCTACATGTGAAACATGAAGATAGAGATTACACGCTCAAATACCCAGGAACCAAAACTGTGCAAGAGGTTAAAAATGATCTCTTCTCGCTGACAGATATACCTGTTAGACATCAGGTCTGTACAACATTTATTATCTAGACTTTGGACAGTAGACTTTCGAATAGGCTGAGCTCTGCAGCATATGCAGTAAAGAAAATCCGACAGTTTACTGATGAGGACACGGCTAAAATTGTGTACCATAGCTACTTTCATAGCGTTATGTCGTACGGCATTTTACTGTGGGGTGCTGCTGCAGAGGTTCAATCCATATTTGTGCTGCAGAAGCGGGCTGTTCGGGGTATTTGTTGTGTTTCTCCGAGGGAGTCGGTACGGAATAAGTTTAAGGAATTAAATATTATGACACTATCTGGTCAATATATTCTTGAAGCCTTGTTGTATGTCCAAAAAAATATAAACGATTTTAAAACAAATGGTGACTTTCACCAGTATAATACGCGAAATAGAACTAATTTGAGTGTACGACCAACCAGGCTCCAAAAGATAAACCACTCCTTATATGGAAATTGTATTCGTTTTTACAACAAGCTCCCAAGCGAAATTAGAGAATTATCACTAAATAAATTCAAAGCCCTCGTTAAACGAAAATTAATCAACAAAGCTTTTTATAAATTTGAGGACTACTTAAATGATCCTAATCCTTGGGATTGAATTGCTCCAGTTCAAACAATTTGTATGACAATACTTGGCGATTAAAAAGAGTGGCGGAAAGTTTCTTGCCAGTTCTTCTTACCCGCTCTACGCCCTTGACTTGCGAACTGGTAGTAAATGTAAATTTACGATTAATTTAACTTGACGATTCAAAAGTGTACTTGGTTACCTACTTGAATAAAGATATTTTGAGTTTGAGTTTGAGTGAAAGTCACTATTACATGGTTATTATAGATAACCAGATAATAGTATCTGGTTATAGCCATAGGGCTAGATTATTTGATATACAATTGTAACAAGACTGACAAATTTTATGAGTCACATAATATGTCAATTTATATGACACATACTTGGTATGTTGATATAGATAATTGTACATGATTAGTATACATAAATCAACGGAAAGCTGAAATTGAATGATTGGGTCCAATACCCCAGAAAATTAAATTATGTCACGTATTTTGTACATCCTGTAATGTTCTCTCTATCGTAACACCTAACTAACCGACCTATTAAACCCAATATTTAAAAAAATACTTATCAATATTGGCGTATTTATAGTACGGGAGGTAGCAACGTTTTCGAGAAAGAATTTCAGGTCAGCTGATTTTGTGATATGTCTTCCTTCTTGCACTTCCGGTTAGAGTCTGGGCAATCTGGCTGGCGGTAGCGGTTGCGTTCATTAGTGCGCATCCTATCTGTCCAGTTAATAATCCTGGATTTTAAAAGCATTTTAAGAAGCGTAATTTTTAATTTTTCGTTTTTAAATACGTCTACCTGACATACTTTTTTATTGCCAGACATTTTTCACGTTGCTAACTATGTGCCAGACGCGATTTTAAGTTTTATTTTTATAAAAATTTCAAAGCATTTTAGAATGTCTGTAATTTTAATATTATGTTATTTAAATATAAGAAAAACTGAAAATGAATTTGCCAGACATTAATTCGGTTGTTAAGTCTTGAATTAAAATGATAAAGTATTGCAGTATGATGAAGCATTGCATTTTAAGAAGCGTAATTTTTGATTTTTCCTTTTTAAATACGTCTACCTGACATACTTTTTTATTGCCAGACATTTTTCACGTTGCTAACTATGTGCCAGACGCGATTTTAAGTTTTATTTTTATAAAAATTTCAAAGCATTTTAGAATGTCTGTAATTTTAATATTATGTTATTTAAATATAAGAAAAACTGAAAATGAATTTGCCAGACATTAATTCGGTTGTTAAGTCTTGAATTAAAATGATAAAGTATTGCAGTATGATGAAGCATTGCATTTTAAGAAGCGTAATTATTGATTTTTTCTTTTTAAATACGTCTACCTGACATACTTTTTTTATTGCCAGACATTTTTCACGTTGCTAACTATGTGCCAGACGCGATTTTTAGTTTTATTTTTATAAAAATTTCAAAGCATTTTAGAATGTCTGTAATTTTAATATTATGTTATTTAAATATAAGAAAAACTGAAAATGAATTTGCCAGACATTAATTCGGTTGTTAAGTCTTGAATTAAAATGATAAAGTATTGCAGTATGATGAAGCATTGCATTTTAAGAAGCGTAATTTTTGATTTTCCTTTTTAAATACGTCTACCTGACATACTTTTTTATTGCCAGACATTTTTCACGTTGCTAACTATGTGCCAGACGCGATTTTTAGTTTTATTTTTATAAAAATTTCAAAGCATTTTAGAATGTCTGTAATTTTAATATTATGTTATTTAAATATAAGAAAAACTGAAAATGAATTTGCCAGACATTAATTCGATTGTTAAGCCTTGAATTAAAATGATAAAGTATTGCAGTATGATGAAGCATTGCATTTTAAGAAGCGTAATTTTTAATTTTTCCTTTTAAATACGTCTACCTGACATACTTTTTTTATTGCCAGACATTTTTCCCATTGCTAACTATGTGCCAGACGCGATTTTTAGTTTTATTTTTATAAAAATTTCAAAGCATTTTAGAATGTCTGTAATTTTAATATTATGTTATTTAAATATAAGAAAAACTGAAAATGAAAAATGTCTGGCAATAAAAAAAGTATGTCAGGTAGACGTATTTAAAAAGGAAAAATCAAAAATTACGCTTCTTAAAATGCAATGCTTCATCATACTGCAATACTTTATCATTTTAATTCAAGACTTAACAACCGAATTAATGTCTGGCAAATTCATTTTCAGTTTTTCTTACATTTAAATAACATAATATTAAAATTACAGACATTCTAAAATGCTTTGAAATTTTTATAAAAAAAAACTAAAAATCGCGTCTGGCACATAGTTAGCAATGGGAAAAATGTCTGGCAATAAAAAAGTATGTCAGGTAGACGTATTTAAAAAGGAAAAATTAAAAATTACGCTTCTTAAAATGCAATGCTTCATCATACTGCAATACTTTATCATTTTAATTCAAGGCTTAACAATCGAATTAATGTCTGGCAAATTCATTTTCAGTTTTTCTTATATTTAAATAACATAATATTAAAATTACAGACATTCTAAAATGCTTTGAAATTTTTATAAAAATAAAACTTAAAATCGCGTCTGGCACATAGTTAGCAACGTGAAAAATGTCTGGCAATAAAAAAGTATGTCAGGTAGACGTATTTAAAAAGGAAAAATCAAAAATTACGCTTCTTAAAATGCAATGCTTCATCATACTGCAATACTTTATCATTTTAATTCAAGACTTAACAACCGAATTAATGTCTGGCAAATTCATTTTCAGTTTTTCTTATATTTAAATAACATAATATTAAAATTACAGACATTCTAAAATGCTTTGAAATTTTTATAAAAATAAAACTTAAAATCGCGTCTGGCACATAGTTAGCAACGTGAAAAATGTCTGGCAATAAAAAAAGTATGTCAGGTAGACGTATTTAAAAACGAAAAATTAAAAATTACGCTTCTTAAAATGCTTTTAAAATCCAGGATTATTACCTGGACAGATAGGATGCGCACTAATGAACGCAACCGCTACCGCCAGCCAGATTGCCCAGACTCTACCCGGAAGTGCAAGAAGGAAGACATATCACAAAATCAGCTGACCTAAAATTCTTTTTTTTCAAACGTTGCTACCTCCCGTACTATTAGTTCGAAATTGGAACAACATTGCATTTTTTTATATAATATTTATATATAATATTACAATAAACAAATATTTAAAATTTTCTTAACTTACAAAGTAATAATGATCAAAAATTTATACAAATTTTAAACGTTTTGTCTCTGTGACAGTACCTTTAAGGCTGGCAGAATTTCCTCGCTGTATTAATTAATAATAAATTTTCGGCAGTTACCTACTTCGTCTCATATACAAAATAATGTTTTGAATAAATATCAACAAGTATGTGCCATATAAATTGAAATATATGATTCATAATATTTGTCACTCTTGTTATTATATAGTATTAATTGTGTTATCTTTGTAAAAGAAGCACTGCTGGTGAGCCGTAAAAACTAAAACTATTTTTTTTACCCTTCTACCCTCGCAAGTAGTAGGGTAGAAGAAACTTTGCTATGTAATGTTGCATATACAAAATGTATGATTAATATGTTTTAACTTTGTTTTGCATTCAGCATAATATGAATAACATTTAAGATTATTGTTTATCAATTACACATTATTATACTCCAAAACGGCTAGACCGGTATTAATGAATTTATGTGTTCTAGTGGATTTGATAGATGGTTTAGATTTACAGTTAGAAAGGCAGGCAACGGACTCGTGAGTGCAGTTTTTGCACTCTGGCAATATGAGTGCCTATCGACGGCGGTATAACATCAGATGAGCCTCCTGCCCGTTTGCCCCCCTGTTATAAAAAAAAAAGTTTTTTAAATTTAAAACGTTTATAAAGGACAACGTCTATTCGTCCGCTCCTTCTGTGTATAATAAAATAATATTCAGATTTAGTATAAAATTGATATATTGACAGGTATGGACAGGATGGCCAAATGTAACGGGCTTAGACGACACAGTGCTAGCGATGGTTGGGTTAAATCTACCTCTACATGAACTAACCGTTCGTGGAGCTCCGAAACAGAGGGAATATAAGAGGGTAAGTTTCTGTTTTTGTAATGACGTATTTAGTCTGACCTACGTCAAAAATGTATTGGATTTTGAGACACGGGAGTCGGGTAGGCTACATTAAATAAATTGTTTAATGATAAATTAATACACATATTGTTTGTTTTAAACTATACAGTATACATATATTGTTTTAATTTAATATTTATTTAACACAAAACTTGTTTTAAATAAATTTTGCACAAAAATGTTTAATTCTAAACATTTTTGTGCAATAGTTACTCATTTGACTCGTTCGGTTGTTTTAGAATTGACTCGAACAACTGCCCGAAGTGGGATGGTCGAGTCGGAGTAGGGAATAGATTTTAAAAGAGTTTGTAACACATGCGCACGGGCAATTCTTTTGTTCAAATTTGAAGTTATAGAGTTAACGTAAAATCAGTGAAGTGAATTAGTGAATCAAGTCATTGGAGTGTTTAATTTCCTACCCTAAGAACTAGATCAACTAGCCCTTACAATATTAACAATTAAATAGGATTTGTGGAATAATGTTGACGTATATTCTATGAAAAATTACAGATAATTGTAGATAGTTCAGACAGTGAAAACAGTTCCGTGGAAGAAGTCGAGGATGCCGATGCATTCCCTGCTGAAGATGAGATGTTCGTCGATGTTCCTTCAGATCGACTTCAGCCTTTGAGTAAGATTTGTGCTTCATTACCCGTAGTTCCTGAGATATTTCCCACTCAACAAGCTATCAAAAGAAATCGTGTTACTAACTGATAAGCTTTAGATTGAAAGAATGTGCTGAGTTTCTTGCCCGTTCTTCTCAGAACAAGGCCTCCTGGTAGGTTTGCGAACGGATGGCGTAGTCTTGCTCTTTCGCGAATTTTGTAAACGTTTTTGACATTCATATGCGCTAAGACGCATCTAAACTGAATAAACGTATTTTGATTTTTGATATCGATAATAAACCATGTCTTGCAACGCAGTTCTACCGTTTTTTTTTTAATAGAATAAGGAGGCAAACGGGCAGGAGGATCACCTGATGTTAAGTGATACCGCCGCCTATCGACACGCTATGCCAGAGGGGTCGCGAATGCGTTGCCGGCCTTTATAATATATACCGTAAAAAGTTGTGTGATCCATGTAACACCAAGTCGTTTAATTTATTCAGGATCTATCCCTACTAAAGGAACCTTCTGCGTTACGTAATTAGCTAACCTAACGACATCTTATAGTGACCATATTACAAAACTTATATGTTTTAAATTAATATTTTGATACATTGATTTGGCAATGGGGGTTGAAAATGGCTCTAACTGCTTCGAGAAAAGGATGGTACGGCTGTTTCGTTTTTTTCTCCACTTTTTCATTAGTGAGGATATCTTGGCGACTATTTTTAATTAAATAAATAAAATATGATTATTATGGAACATAACATACAGATTACAGGTATCACTTATTCCACGTCATTAAATTATTAATCCCTACTCATCGGCAAAGAAAAGTATGTGGCACTGTACACGACCTCCAACGGAGTGAATGCCTCCAAATTCTTCCACTTGTCTCTCATCCTCGCCACCTTTTTCCAATCCTTCCCGCTATCCCATAGATATGTATATAAAATTCTCGTGTCGCGGTGTTTGTAGTTAAACTCCTCCGAAACGGCTTGAGCGATTCTCATGAAATTTTGTGTGCATATTGGGTATGTCCGAGTCGTACAATATCTATTTTTCATCCCCCTAAATGTTAAGGGTAGTCCACCCCTAATTTTTTTTTATTAGATACAAATTTTATTCTTATTTTTTTATGATACAGCATTAAAAAATACATACAACCCCTAATTTTCACCCCTCTACGATCAACCACTATTTTTTATTATAAATGATATATATGGCAAAACGACGTTTGCCGGATTAGCTAGTAAGGAATATAAATATAATATTAATGTATTTTTAAAATGAATAAGTTTTTTCTAACTTTCAAAACTTCTGGTAAGAAAATAGAAACTTCTTTTCTAAAAAAAAAAATTTTCAAACAGCGGCCGAATCCACTTTTTCAACGTCAAATCTTATACTGTCAATTTGTTTTACTACGCAATTTATTATATTTCTATTACATTATTTTTATAACATCGAAATCATCAAAAATGAGCTGCCATGATCTTAATCCTAATGAAAATCAAAACGCAACCGAGAACAAACAAGAACAAGATAATAAAGGCGACGGTGATAAACAGACTGAACAAGGGCCCACTACACCCAAGCTCAAAAGAAAACGAAAACGTATCATCTATATAAAAACACGAACGATCATTCCACGAAAATCAAAAACCAAAGCGTTAATATTAATAAAATCATTTATAAAGGCTAAATCTAAGCTGCATACCAAAAATAATTTGGCCCCCTTGCGAATACATTCCCCTCTACCAACGCAAGCTGAAACGAATTGAAGTTTGTTTATTATGTCATCTTCAAAAAGCCCGTAGAAACAGATGTTCGCGTCTTATGGTCACTGGAGATATCGCTGATATTGACGTGTTTCTTTATATAAAATGTGTCAACCAAGCCGGCGGGTTTTCGTCACAAAAAGCGACTACAGCTCTCGGATAAGTCAATGAATGCGTTGCCTATTTTAAAGTTATTATTGGGAAGATCTCCATTGGAAGTTGGGCTAAGGGTTTTGATTTTTGGTGGACCAGTTTTGTGATATTTTTGTTTTGTTACTTACCGTTAATATCGATATTTAATGCTTTATTTTAGATGCTAATTAGAGTAATATATAAATCTAATTTTCTATTTCTTTCAATAGTTTGTACACAGAAACCGTTAAATTAAACATTTTTAGTGTATTAGACAAAAATTTGCAATTAGTTACGCTGGCCATAGACGGACCGCATGTTGCAGCCGATACCGACTGCTATAAGCGGTCGCCGCACGGCGAACTGCAGTTTCCATACTAAATTCATATCCGCAATACACGGACCGCTCGAGCAGTTCCTGAGCGGTCAGAGCAGTCGCTCTGCGGTCGACTGCTTAGAGCTGCCGGACCCACCATACACGGACCGCTACAAGCGGTTGCTGCCGACCGCGCGCCACTCCCTCAAATAAAATGAAATACTAATTCATCAAATGAAACCACGGACATTCTAAAGTAGTTGAAAAACTTTTTAGTGTCTTCTCTCAGCTGGGGATACAAAGTATGAAATATTCCATGCTGTTCTCTTGATTGTAGTATTGGACGCACCCACACACTACGGTGTCTTCTACGCCTACGTTTGCTTAATAATAGTACAAGTAGCAGTGTTTCCTCATCGAATTCCATTTTGTAAATGAACTCGCATAAACTCGCATAAGTATTATTTTGCGGTCGAACACAACTGCTCCAAGCAGTCGTAGGCGACTGCATTATGCGGTCCGTCTATGGCCAGCTTAAGAGGAGTTGTTCGGATTCATTCAGCTGAGTTTCGTCATCGGACGTCGAGGCAGAATATACAAAATACCATCTGTGGCACCTCGACGTCCGTCGTTTCACTTCTGAGTGTTTCTTAAGTGAAGTATTTCCGAACCAATTTGACTAAAGCGGGCCGCTTTAGGGTCCTTCAAGAAAAGAGATTACCAAATTCTTAAAAGGCCAGCAAAACGCGCTTGCGGGCCTCCTGGCAATGAGTATCCATGGGGGGCCTCCTGGCAATGAGTATCCATGGGGGGCCTCCTGGCAATGAGTATCCATGGGCGGCGGTATCACTTAACGTACGATGAGCCTCCTGTTACATAAAAATATAATAAAAATAAATGGGGTTTAAAAGTTTTTGCGTTAAACGAAAGGGCATCTATCGATCGAAAGTTGGAATTATAAGTAAAACTACGTTATAACCTATTTCATATTATATTAGGTCCTTACATATGAAATTGGCGTTTTGTATGGGAGGAACAAAAAGTCGAATATTTTTAAATATAATATATTTAATTAATCAAAGTATGAACCATTGTTTTCTATGCACTTTTGCCATCTCATAGGTCCCTTTACTAAAAAAACCAGTCGGACGGGCATCAATAAAACCTGTGAAGGTGATTTGGACTGCCCCATCAGAGTTAAATTTTTTCCCTTGCAAGAAGTTGTCCAAATTTCGAAAAAAATGGTAATCTGTTGGAGCAAGGTCCGGGGAGTACGGAGGATGACTTAGACATTCCAATTGAAGCTCTTCTAATTTGGTAGCCGTCTGTTGTGCAGTGTGTGGTCTAGCGTTGTCGTGAAGTAGCAGTGGCGTGGAGCGATTGACCAGCCTAGGTTGTCTAGTCGCTAGCTTTTCCATCATGGTTTGCAATTGCTGACAATAGACATCAGCAGTAATAGTCTGGCCAGATTTGAGAAATATGCAATGAACAATACCGGCACTAGTCCACCAAACGCTTACAAGTAACTTTTTTGGGGTTAATTTTCGCTTGGGGCAGGATTTGGCTGGCTGGCCAGGATCCAACCATTGCGCTGAGCGCATTCGATTATCGTAAAGAATCCATTTTTCATCACAGGTAATGATTCGGTTTAAAATACCTTCATTATTTTGCCGGTTCAGTAATGTAACGCAGCAGTCGACGCGCGTTTGCCGGTTTGCTTCAGTCAATTCGTTATATATATAATACCCATCTTTCAAGCTTTTTAATCTTCCCAATTTGCTTCAAGTGAATTAAAACAGTTTTATCACTAACTAACCGCAGCCTGCAGCTAACTCGGACGTGGTTTGCGATGGATCCGCTTCCACAATAGCCTTCAATACTTCATTATCAACTTGGGTCTCAGGCCGTCCACGGGGCTTGTTCTGCAGGTCGAAATTTCCAGAACGAAACGTTGGAACCAAAAACGAACTGTGTTTTCTCTTGAAACATGACAGCCATACACACCATTCACCCTTCGAGTCGTTTCCGCAGCACTAGTGCCACGGCGGAACTCGTACTCGTAAATAATGCGATACTTTAAGATTTCCATTTTGTAAAATGAGTGACGCAAACAGAAAAAAACAGAAGAAAAAAACAAATGAATGACGGTCATCGAAGCACAAATACATGAGCTGTACAAATTTGAATTTGGAATTCCTTACCAAAGAGAAGAACATCGTGATTATAGTGGCCAGTACGAAATACGCCAATTTCATATGTAAGGACCTAATATATACGACCTATATGTACTATTATGTACGTTATTTATTTTTAATGTTGTTAGTCTTTTGAAAACTCGTAGAAATCTCAAGTAAGACATAGTTTCCGTGGTTATAAATTATTTCTATATTGTTTGATTATTTTTCCCCGTGATTTCCTCCAATACCTGCTACTGCACAGTAGAAACATCCCACTTCGAGGAAATTATTTACATAATCGAGATACTATGGCGTAAGACAGCAATTTAAAGTTTTATATATCCTAAAACATGTTATTGTGGCATATCATATATTAAAGTACAGTAAACTCTTTTATAACACGGTACTCTTATAACGCATTTTAATTTTTTTTTTATCGATTTTAATCCCCTTTATCGAGAAGATAAACGTGAATCATTACATAGCGCGTTATGGGGTCATACGAGTGCGTTATTAGAGAATACTTCAACTACGCGTATTCTATAACGCAGATCCAATCAACGGTGTTATAGGAGCGTAAACAGCTATTATTACGTTTTTTTTTAAATCATTTATTCATTTCGGTAACACAATGTACACTTCTGACTGTCAATAAAGAAATCCATATTAAATGCTTCTAATTTTACATTTACTGCCAGTTCTCAAATCAAGGGCGTAGAACGGACGAGAAGAACTGGCAATAAACTCTGCCACTTTTTTTCCGATAGTTATAAAACATTATTATAATTCATCTTTTTAGTGTCCGAGCGTGTCCAAGATGAAGCCCTAGGCTGTATAGAGTTCGCGCAACGGTTCCGAGCTCGGTACGGACCGAATTCGCCTAACTTCTTCGAAGGGACACTGCAGGACGCTATCAAGGAGTCATGTCTCACCCCAGCCAAAGAGGTAATTATATACTTTTTAATTCAAGCAATAATAAACTGGCTTTTCAAGATTGCGCAAGCCGCAATGTTAGGATAGCCTGGTAAAAAAATATTCCTATGAATGAAAGAAAGAAAAAACTTTATTATAAACACAATATACAGGATATTTAGGTATACCTAAGTAAAGTGCTACCCATACTAGGATTCCCTGTGTTGTGGCCAGTCTCTTCCTTTTGACATGTAAACTGTATTTTACTTTATGTTTTCTACGTAAAACAAATGTAGAATTTAACTATTTTTTCACAATAAGAATATTTTCTGTATTAGCATAGGACAGGTTGACAAGATATTGTTTGAGATTTTTAGAAAGTGTATGTAATGTGAGTTTTGAAATGTTAGTGATAATTTTATTTTTAAGGAAGTGGTTAAAGATGAAAGGGCGTGGGAAGGAGAAAAAGCGTTGAGCAAATGATTAGAGTACGTGCTCAATTTATTATAATTTTGAAGTTAATACCCCTGTATTTTGTTGGGGTGCCAATTACCTAGAATATTTACGAAATTCCCTCTGGGCCTAGGTTCCTTCGAAACGATTATATAACTGACTTAAATGTAACTTTTTATTTATGTAATTCTCTTTCTCCAGTAATGTAATTCTTTTCTCTCTCTCCTGGAGAAAGAGAGCCATAGACAAACTCAGTTGGAAAAAGCTGGAAGAGGCTTTTTTTCAAGTGAAGGGGTTCCGGACGACGGTGTTTTTTATGTACGTGCATATGCACGTACGTGATCGTGGGTTGAAGGAAAATGTGAGGAGAGTGGCACTTCTTAAATGCTTTTATGTAAAAGACGAGCTGGAGGCTCACCTGATGTTAAGTGTTACCGCCGCCCATGGACACTCACATTGCCAGGGGGCTCAAAAGTGCCTTGCCGGCCTTTTAAGACCTGTTTAAAGGATTACCTATAAAGAATACAAGTTCCATGAATTAGCTAGATATTTTTTTCAGAGAAAGCTCCTCGCAGTGTATCTGCATCATGAGCATTCGGTCCTGTCGAATGTGTTTTGTACCCAACTTCTCGGCTGTGAAACGGTGCTGCAGACACTTTCGGCAAACTTCATAGTGTACGGCTGGGATCTTACTTACCCGGATAATATGAATTTGTAAGTATATTGAACCATTTTTTATATTTTTTTTTATATAATGGGTATGCAAACATACCTACGAGACGCCAGGGCAGTCACCCGTCCCAAATGAAAATTTTTTTTTTTAAATATATGGATGTCACGAGAATTTGTTAGATAAAACTCTGTAATAAGCAGTACAGAGATGCTTGGTCATGAACAGGGATCTATTCCTCTGTTTTGTCGATTATGAGAAGGCCTTTGACAATGTACGCCATGGTAAATTGATGGAAATACCTAGGCCACTGCCACCCTAGGCTCCAGCCTACTCAGCCTGCTGTTTAATCCGCTGGTCGTAGAACCGTTTCAGGCACTGTTTGTGTTGTGTTGCTCGAAGTCCTGCCGTTCTTCTATTTAAGTTTTTTTCTTTAAGGGTATGCGGTCTCACAGCCGTACCCACTAAACCCCTCCCACCAATAACCACTAGTCGCAGTTGGGGTAACTTGGCATCGCGTTACCATTCTTGGTAGATCAAGAGATAGTTTATTAAATCTAACCAAGCTCCAAAAATAACTTTTTCACAACAATATTTTTCAGATTACTAACGTCAGTGACAAATGCGTTAGACCTGGTGGCGAGTAGGACGATTCGAAGGATTCCAATTGATCGGTTGCCCGCGCTGATTATTATCATGCGCCTGCGCTCCAATACAGAGATATACTCCGTTATCAATGGTATGATTTTGTAATAACGCAATATGGCTTTAATTTTCTTATTTGGTGATTACGTCATCAGTAATTATTTACTTTTTTACACATATTACCCACACATTGTCTATGATTGAAAACGAAATGCATTTTCGAGGATTCCTACCAAAAATTAATACGTTTATGTACTATTATTTTTGAGAGCTTTACTTAGTTTTGCTGACAAAAGGAGTGGGGGGGGGGATAAATTACGGTAAATCTGCTTACGTAAGGGAGCCTTCAAGTATTACGTAACGAATTTTGGGGGGGTCCTTTTATAAAACGATACGATGCGGGGCGGGGATTGAATTACGCGTTATTTTTAATATTATTTTCGACTTTCCAGTATTTTTCACCAAATAATGGTAACTTTTAACTATAAAGAGTCACTAGTTGGTCAAGAAACGTTTTACTATACTTGGGTACAGAAAAACGTTACGGACCGTTACATGGGTGGCGGGGGGACTTCAATAATCTCCAAAAATTGCGTGACGTAATACTTGAACGGCCCCCTATAATTAATTAAGCATATTTTGGTTTGTAGGTAACGTGGGTGTGTCGGAGTTGGTGGGGGGTTTAATGGAGGCGGTGGAAAGGTTCGCTGTTCAAAGGGAAGAAGACGCGAAGGTCGAGAGGGAGAGACTTGCTAGGCAACGTGTCAAGTGGGAGCAAGACGAGGCGTACCAGATGAGTCTTGATGCTGATAGGTATTTATTTTATGACTATATAGGGTTTTAAAGTCAAGGTGGGTTTATAGCGTGAGCGAGTATTTAGACCATAAGTTTAACAATTATAAATAACTTAACTTCTTATTATGACATTTGCATGCCTATTTATATATGGCTGATTGTTCGGATTTTTCTTGTTGTTCGATCTAATTGTCCCACTATCTTGGCAAAAAAACTATTTATTTTAAAAATAATAACTTAAAGACAATTACATCAGCTACCATTACCAATAGATCTCTTTAACTTTAAAATTAATATAAAATACAAAATTAATTAATTCATATCCAAAGAGAATATAAATCAATTGTAAATAAAACATGATTATTAAAATAGAGATGACACCGAGTTGGACAGAGGAATTCTGGAGGACATGGTCAGGATATAGGAGACTTTTGAAAGACAATGGTAGAGGCCAAAGATAGTATGTAAATCTACCAGCTAAACGTAATTTACTGAAATTTTTTTTTTACATTTTTGGTACAGAAACAGAAAACATTAATTATATAATTATGTACATACAGTTATTACACACTAAATAGCATTTGTAAACCAGAAGTCCAATTAGATCTGTACACAGCATTTTAGGGGCATCTTCAGTGCTGGTTTACTAAAAATTAACTATTACATACAGTAAATATATAAATTTAAAATAAAATTGAAAGGTTCACGTAAGGAAACATTAAGTTTTTTACGTGTTTGTTATATTGGGTATGAACCCAAATACGTTAAAAAATTTTCATGATGTTTATTTTTCAAGTTGCGCCTTTAAAAAATTGAAAAGGGGGGTTTTGGGGGGGGGGTTTTTTAAAAAAAAAAACCCTTTTAGGTTGGAAAGGGGGTTTTTGGGGGGGATTTTTAAAAAGAAATAAATTTACTGAGAAAAAATTAAAGAATTTGTCACTGGGGTATACAAACCCGAATTAAACAAACTCACTTTTTTTTTCGCCATGTTGTATATTATATTTCAATCAAGACCCTCTCAAAAGAAATTGAAATTGAATTGATTTGACAGACGAAGACATATTACAAGGAGTCAGATTTCTTTATTTGACTGCATCAACACTTAATACGCTTTTAGGTCTAAAATTACGTTAAGATTGAATTAAAATTCCACAAAAGTTTCCTATTGCATTTCGATTTATGTTTATTTGGGGGGTGTGGTAAAAAGGAAATAATTACTGATGACTAATCTTCAATAGAAAATCAAGCCCCCTGTTACGTAATTAAGCCCCTAACACTTTCCATAAAGTTTAAAAAAAATTGAACAGAGCAAAAGAGGAAGTAAAGAAGCAGTTAGAGCTAGAACGGAATCAAGAGATAGAGCGCGCGGAGTCCGAGCGTCAAATGCAAGAAGCGCACAAGGAGGCGCAAAGGCTCGGTGCGGAGGCGCGGGTGCCTCCCGAGCCAGAGGCAGACGCCGGTGACGTCACGCGCATACGGGTGCGCCTGCCCCCACCCCACCACGAGTGCTTAGAGAGGCGGTTTAGGGCGCAGGACACGCTGGCCGTGAGTCACTCTTGCGTTTAATTCTTTTCTTGTTTCTTTGCTGACTCCATAGTTGTGAAAAATAAACCTTTGGTTATTTATAAAAATACTAGCTGACCCGGCAAACGTTTGTTTTGCCATGTATATTATTTCTAGGAAATATTTTATTAGTTCAAAATAACTATCTACAATTATAAAAAATAGGGGTTGTATGTATTTGTGGATACTGTATCATAAAAAAATAAATACAATGTTTTTTTTTTTTTTTTTTTTTTCAAAAAAAAATTACGGTGGACACCCCCTATCACTTAGGGGTTTGAAAGATAGTAGCCGATTATAAGGATAAAAAGCTTACTGAATATGCATAAAAAATTTGATAAGAATCGTTTCGGAGGAGTATGGGAACGAACATTGTGACACGATAATATTATATAGAGATGTTTCGATTTTCAGGGGCTGTTAGACTTCTTAGCGTCGAAAGGTTACCCACAAGAGAACTACAAAGTTATTTCTAGCTGGCCTAGAAGAGACGTAAGTTTATTCAGTATTTGTTATCTGACACCTGGTCGAGTTTGCTTTTTATGGAACAGGAGGCAAATGAGCAGGCGGGTCACTTTAAGTTAAGTGTTTATGCGCCCATGGACACCAGGTCTGCAATTGCGTCGTCGGTCTTTTGGTGCCTTCCAAGCTTTGTACTTTACACCGTTCGTACCGGCGAATCATTGTTTTGATGGGCCGGTATCATTTTTAATATAAAATACTTCACCAGACTAAGCGTGATTCCATTTTTCGATTCCTCAAACATATTTTAATAACTTTATTCATGGCAGAAATAAGTTGTGACAAAATTCTTCTATCGCTAGTCTCCACACTAGGTAACAATTATTCCGTTGTACAAGATGCTTGTTTAAAACAGTTTTTTAACGTAAAAGTAGTTTTAGTTTTACAACTAATCAAACACAAGTCATAAAAGACATTAATTATGCGTGAATGTTGTGTGTGTGTGCGTATGTATTTAAGAGTAGCTAAGAGTTGTTATAAAAGAGTGTTGTGTGTGTGGTAGATTTTGAAGCCCAAACAAGTAGCTATTTATGCAGCCTCGCGATTTAATCGCTATTCAAAACGGAGCGTATTATAATTTAATTAATTAATACTCAATTTATCATTCAGCTGACCGCGGAATCTCAGAGCAGTACACTGAAGGCACTCAATCTATATCCACAAGAAACCATCGTTCTGGAGGAGCGGTGAAGCGCGCTAGTTTTTTGCAACTACCCACCATTTGTCATACGGTTTTTTACCTAAACGGGGATTTCCTCTTAACTTTGCCGTTTTTAATTTAATTGGAATTGTGGGTTCATTGAGAACATTTCTTTGTATTTATTTTTATATCGGTCCAGCCACGTTTCGAAGTATGAACCAGTTCTTCTGACGATTCTAAGCAAAATTATCCACAAATTGGAAATTTTTGCACAGAATTTAAGTCATAAGCATAAGATTGGCGGATTTGCTTCTTTTTTTTTAATTCGTCTAAGGAATCGTCCCCATAACAGTGTCTATGTATGACGTAATTGAAATCAGTGAACTTAAAGAGAAGCGAAAAGTTTGCGTGTACCTCAATGAAATATTAGCATTGTCTAATTGCAACATGTTACAATAATAATTCTTAATTTGTATAAATTGCATTATGTTTATTAAAGATTTTAAGATGGATCGTTGTATTTCTTTATACCCCTTTAAACTATTAATCACCAATTAAATGCTTACGGCACTTGTTTTAATTAATTACAAGAAGTGAGACCAGATTAAGAACTGCGCTATTTTCTTTCTACCGTATTCCTTCCCAGCTTTTCTAGAACTCACTTTCCGAACCGGTGATTAATAAAAGATTAATCTAAAGGTGCTTTAAAATAGGTATAATTTCTCTAAATTCTATTTGAATATACAATATTTAGCTAAAAAAAGGATATGCATATTAACTTGAGTATCATACATACGTTGAAAATATTTGAATAACATTACTAAACGATTCACGGAGATATGTAAGCAACAACTTTATTTATTTAAAAAAGGTTTAACAACGAGCATTACACCTAGGAACACAAAAATAACAATAAAAACTGATTGTACATCCTTTAACAGGCAAACAACATGCTTTATACTTAACAATAATGATAAAAGCCTCTTATATCAGATAATTTAAGATAACTTAAATTTTCAAAAATTCAAGTGTATACAAGGTAAGCCATTTCTGCAATAAATTTATTAGTTAAATATATTTATTATTTTTGCTAACTATAAACACAATATTCTCAATAACCAATACAGTAAGAGCAAGAATATTCCCAATACCAAGCAGAATAAGCGCAGTAGAGAACTCTTGTATGTTGACTGAAAAAGAGCGTGTGCCCGGTGTACGTACACAGGGAGGCTTCGCTTCGTCCCATATAGCCTTCAATCTGCTCATCACTCCAGTTTCCAACATTTTCCTTATTCTGAAACGGGTAAGAAATGCCTTTGAAAAAAGAGTGGCCTCACAAACCCTGACCTCAAGTATGTATTTCCTGATTCAGCCTTCTTTGCCTGACAAACGCCGTCGACTTTTTGGGTCTAAGGCATGCCGGTTTCCCCACAATGTTTTTTCTGTGCTCTTTGGAATTCTGGCTGAGCATGAGGCTGATAACCCACTTACCGATTAGATAGGCAAATGCGCTAGTGGTATATTTAAAAAAATACAGTTAATATAATACAAAACTCGCCATAAAGGTAACTGCCGCAGTCCCCGCATCCTTTTAGTCCATTTTTAGATTTTTTAATAACTTGATTCTTTTTGAACAATATAACTAACATGGTTCATTACCCAAGTCTAACGTGTTCCTTATAAGGTGATCGCTTTTGAAGTATAGCCCCCATCTTTTGCGGAGGTATCATATAAACTTCTTGGACCTCACAAATCTCGGATTCCGTAAACGACCACCGCATTATGGGGTACGCAATAATCGTATCGACGTGGAAAGCAAAGCCTCCAGACTTAACTAGTTCCATGCCTTTTATGGGTGGATAAAAATTGTTTTCTCTTGCCGTCACTACTTTCTCACGATACAGAGCTTTTGCTACGGGATCGGTTGTGCGCTAAAATAATAGTAATTAAATTTGTGGTAAATATGTAACTTTGAGATTTTTGTCGCCATTTGGAAAATGTATGAAAAGACATTATTATCAACTAACTGTTGTACGTTACTAATTATATATATAGCTAGCTGACCCGACCGTCATTGTCACATACACAAGTCTTAAGAACAAAATCTTAAACTATTCTCGAATGCACTTGAACACACAATTTTTTTTATCAAAATCGGTAAAGCCATTTAGGAGTTTAATTTCAAACACACGCAGAGAAGTTTAATATAAACATACTAGCGGATACGACAGACGTTGTCTTGTACATACATGTTACACATACAAGATATCTAATAATGTAAATCATTCTCGACTCCACTTGAACATACAAAAAATTTCATCAAAATCTGTCCAGCCGTTTAGGAGTTTAATTACGAACACATGCACAGAAGATTTATATATATATACCAGCTGTTTTTTTGCTTTTATAGATAAATCACCTAGATACCGATTGCATCGCCATCTGTTGGGCTGATTTGTGAATCTAATCTAAAACATCCAGGGTGCCACCCAAACGCATACAAAAATATTCATTCAAATCGGTCCAGCCGTTTAAAAGGAGTTCAGTGACATACACACGTACAGTAAGAATTATATATAGATACATATATCTAAAGATAATAAGGTAGAAGAGAAGCCCAGAGAATGAGTCTAAATAAAGTTAAAATTCCTAGATTTCTATTAACCTTGAGATAATCTCTATTGTAGACCACATCTTCCACACCTATCTTCAGGTTGCTGTTTAATAGTTCCGTTAAAGTACGAATTGTTTTAGGAGGTTCACGCAATAAAGTTGAAACAAGCATTGCATTGTAGTACTGATACAATGTCAACGTGAACATAAAGGTTATAAAAATCGTAATCTTCACCGCTGTTGATCCTCTATGTATTGACATTCCTGAAACAGTTGAATGTATAAAATATGTTATAGCCGAGAAAAGCTTAGTTCCATTGTCAAACCTGAGTGCGTTCCGGCAATTAATAAAAAATAAAATCGTTAAGCTAAGAATATTGGTCTAATGATAAGAAAAAGTCTACGGCGTCAGAAAGCTGAACACCTACTTGCCGATTAGACAAATGCAAATGATTACGAAACAGAAAAAGAAATCTGAGGCTCAGACCTAAAACGGCTCCACTGCCATTTTTTCGTAATAATAAGCATGTCGTTTGGTGAAGTAATGTAGTATAGCTCGAAGGTCTATCGGTAATTCTTCCTTTCTTCTTATAATAAAAATTAGCCGCAGATATGTAACTCAATGCTACAACTTCTCACGTCCTTTGACGCGTGCAGTTCTGTTTCATATACAGTCGACTCTCGATAATTTGGACCAGAACCAGAGATAAATTTGTCAATATCAAGAGTTCAAAATAACCACGAGGGGGAGGGGGACTCGAATAATAAGAGTTTGATCAAATTCTGATTTATTATTATTTATTAACAATTAAAAACAATCATTCACAATTTTTTTCGAAAACAAGTCGGTAATCTTTTTTTGAGTGACTTCATCATTGTCCAGAATTTAAAAAAACAATTGACAACTCTGTACATGATAAACATTTTAAATTATATCACTTATAGGGAAGCCCTCCAATTCTCGCATATTGGTGAGCAAGTTACTATGCCTTCAACTTCAAATTACCGCGGAGACCAATTAGCATTGATTTTATTCAATTTATCGAGGATTTTCAAGGACCGGAAAACATTATCAAATTATTCAGAATAGACTGTACATGACATAATATTTTAATTTGTAACTTACAGTATTTATATTGCAACTTATCAAGTACCTTGCTGTCCTAAAGCACTAAAAACAAATAAAGCCGTGAGCGATGGTGTAGTATCCTCCGAACCTCCTAGCCTTAAAAATGTGTTTACTTTAAGGAGACTATAGAGAAAAGCCCCAATAAATAGCAATAGTCCAACCGTGCTATACCAGACCGCGTTAACAAGAGGTCGTGCGTAAATCGCAAAACTACCACCCGGATGCTTAGGGTGGCGGAAAATGAAGCAAATTCTGAAAATGAATATGGGGTAAATTATAGTTTTAGTATTTACTGTTAATTTTACAAAGGGTATTACCTGCTTCCCCAAGTTTCAGCAACATAGTCAATAACTTCACATCTATCCTTTCTAAAGAAAACAGAAGTGCCTCCAATATCAGACTCCTTCCTCTGTAAAGCACCTACTAACCCATCGAAGCTACCATTGCGCAAGTATCCCCAAGACGCTGTGCGTTGAAGATTATACCTAAGAGTAGTGTAACATAGTGAGTTGAGTAATTTAACACTAAAGAGGCATCAGAAATTGCACATTTTGCCTTGCCGCAGACGCTATTTCCATACGATTTCGACTTAGGGTCCTTCAAGAAAAGATCGTACCAAATCTTAAAAGGCACGCACTCGCGAGCGTTCTTGGCCATTGCCTCCTATTGTCCACGTTTAGCGGTATAACTTAACATCAGGAGAGCCCCGTCCTTTAAAAAAAGTATTCAATATTTTTTAAATATTAACTTACGTAAAATTGTACATATCTCGTAAATACATGATGAGCGTAAAAAACTTTAGCTTATGTAGCGAGTCGATTTGAGATTTCTTGTGTAGATTTAGAAAATGATTAAACGTTATATTGCGTATAGGGTCCGGATATACAACAGTTATTTGCAGCCTAACTCCTGTCAACTGTTTGTTGCGTTTGGTCAATAAAAATAAGTTTCCATACCAATATCCGATTTCACTGAGAATAAAATTGTCCTTGCGGTTGTATCTTTTATTGTATAAGTCATATATTTTGTAATAACCACTTCTGTTGCATAATACATTAACATCGGAAGTAAACTCAATAGGATATTGAGATAAAATGTCTTTTGTTTTTGAAATATCATCGGATTTCAAAATCCATGAGAGAGGGCTTTGGAATGGCTCATGGAAAGCACTGAAACTTGTTTCCCAAAGGTTACAGCTTGTGTCAACAATCACACCTAACCTTGAATACTGATACAACCAATTATGTGCAGAAATATCATTTATATGAGAAACAGCTACCCGCATGTTATTTTCTATAAACATTTTCTGAGCCTGATGAAAATGCTGCAATTCAAAACAATGAAGAAGAATAACATTTCCTACATTTTTAAACTTGAAAATACTTATAATAACTGATAGGTCAGTTAAAGATATCCAATAAGTTATGTTGGCCATAAAATGCATGTCTGTTTTGTATTAAAATAACCGATTGACTAGAAAAATTTATTTCAAAATTATAAGAATCACTGACAAGAAAATTACATGTATTACTGTCAGCAGACATTATATATGCATACTCTAATGCAGATTCAAATTAAGGGTAATTCTATTTGGAAATAGCATTTTAAATAAATTAGAACATATAAGTGGAAAAGACATCTTGAAAAGGAAATTCAGCTTTATCTGGAACCAAAAGATCAGATAAATAACACACTGTACCAGCAATGCCTTCATATAAGCTTTCAGGATTATCTGGCAATCTTGCATCTCTCAAAAATTCTTCTGTATTTATAAAACTAGCAAAAGAAGTAGCCCTATATAGATATTTGTCATCACCAGTTAGTCGGTATAATAACAAAAACACCATTCCATTTCCAGCAACACCATGACATATTCCAGGGCCCTTGCGAAGAAGTCCTTTTTGCCAAACAACATCAGCTGCTCTCTTGCAAGCATTTAGATACTTTTGATCCTTGTACACTAAATACGCTTTCGCCATGAGATACACTGTGCCTGGTGCTCCATGACACCAATGTATGAGTTTATGTTCAGCCATTCCAATTTCTTCTATACAACATGGCCAGTTACCTTCTGTTGTTTGTAATGATAATATAAAGTCTATTGAAGCTTTTATATCTTGAGCAGCAGATTTATCATGTTCCAAGTAACCAGGAACAGTCAACAACATTTGTAAGATAAAACTAATGCCATGAGCTGCTCCTAAATATTGTGTATTATAATAATGATACATCAAAGGACATGGACTTTCATGATTTTTAGAATACTCTTTGCCTGAAGCTACCATAACATTACAGATTTTGTAAAGCTCATTATTTGTAAACACAGGAATTTTCAATTCTCGACTAATCCATAGAGCACCTGCTAAATATCCAGCTCTACCAACAAAAAATTCATCACCGCCACATTTCAAAAAATTTTTACTCAAATACAAGTTAAAGAGGGATTTGAATTTTTTAAGATATTCTTTAAATAAATCATCTCCTGTCTCTTTTTTAATTATAGTAGCCAAGGCGTAAGAACCAGCGTCACCGAGTAAAAATGATGTTTTATCGCCAGCTGATGTCTCCAAAGCTGGTTGCAGATATTCTAGGCTCTTCTCTAAGAAATATACTTTTTTGTCAGACAGTAACGGATTTCGTGACAAATAATAAAACATGTATGAAACACCGGTAGTTCCAACGTAAAGTCCTCCGTCAACAGTCCGGGGAGAAGGTTGCATTCTTTTAGTAATAACTCCTACATTTTCCTCTATATTTTTAATAACTTCGTCTTTGTTTACAAGCTCTAGCCCCGGCTGGTAATCTTCATAAGGATTTGGAAAATGCCGAACCATTTTCAGACCAAAAGATGTTGCAGATACCAAAGTCCTAAATAATCGGGCAGTAAATCTATTTTTTAGAAGCTTATACATACAAAATTAGCGTTACATCGACAGTAAACGAAATAAGTTGATATTTTAAAATTCTTGATTCTTTGCGTTTGTCTTAAAAATTATATTTCGTGCCAAGGAAAAACAAAAACAACAGTTTGATTGTCATAGTTTGATAGTTTTGAGTTTTGACAAACATTGACAACCTTGTTCTCTAACAATTAATTAGTCTGGGACTAAGTTATTACCTTGTATTTGGCCTGGGAAAATACAATCAGTGCGTGTTTTTTTTTTTTTTTTTTTAATATTGGCCCGCACGGTTTTGTGCATTGTGGCCCAGGGTCAAAAACAGGGAAACGGGTAAAAACATAAAATTATCGTCTGGAAAGGAATTTAGGAATAGAAAATAATGAATCTATAAAATAAAAGATCAATTCTTATAAATCTACATAAAAAAGGGTGTAAGAAAACATATTTACATATAATTACGTTCATATTGTCTAAATTTTTATATTATTACTTAAGATAAAAGCTGCTAAAAGTTTATATACATGTGGGTCCAATGTAGAAAGTAAACATGATATGGATGAAGGGGAAAGGAATTGGAAGGAAATGAGACCTTCGAGAAGAGCCGACCGGTCGCGTCGAGGACAAACAAATATGATGTGATTTAAATCACCTACATCATATCCGCAATCGCACGTAGGGCTCTCATTAATATTTAACTTAGTAAGATGAGCTGGGGTGCAGACGTGTCCCAGTCGCATACGAGACAGTACTGTTGTAACTTTTTTACCGAATCTCAGTCTCCAAAACCAGGGCTTACTGGGTATAGAAGGTTGAATAGTACGATAATGGCGACCTTTTGAACTATCTTGAGCCCAGGATTCAGTCCAGGAATTCCTGAGATAAATCCCTGAAAGAGACATCAAGTCATGCGCATAGTTTCTAAAAATGTCTACATCTCCACTCTCCACCGCCTCATTGGCTAAACGATCGGCTTTCTCGTTTCCAGATATTCCACAGTGACCAGGAACCCATGCAAACGATACGTAATAGTTTTCTTTTATACATTTTAATAGCAGGTTTCTAATTTCGGAAATGACAGGGAATTGATAATTTGATCCAAATGGGAACCGGGCTAAGGCATTCAAAGAACTCAGTGAATCTGTAAAAATTACAGTTTTTTGAAGTTTTAGTAGAAGGATGTATTCTATGGCTTTAACAAGGCCAATACATTCGCCAGTGAACACGGAGGATTCAGGAGGGAGTTTAGTTTTTTTGAACAATATTGTAATTAGAGTGCAGTACACCAACACCTACACAGCTATCTTTGGAATGCTTAGATGCATCTGTAAATATTCGATGCCATTGTGGCCACTTGGTGTCAACAATATAGTTAAATGTTAACTTTTGGTTTTGCTCAATTTTCACAAGACCTGTGCTAGTATGTAGGGGAAGGTCGGGACCCTTCGTACGGTTTTCACATTTTATTTTTAATTTTTTTCTTTTTCCATTAATCAATCATCTGCAAGCTTAAATTTATAGTCCTACTATCTGAGATTCATATAAAAAATGACAAATGATTTCATCTTATGGTTCAACCATAATTATGATTTAAACTAAATCTGGGAAACGTACGAATCTGCCCCATTCACGGGGCACCTTCGTACAGTGTTGGAGGTACCTTCGTACGCTGTGGGGTAGTTCCGTACGTGCGATTAAAACGACACGTATAAATCAAAATTCATTTATTAGCAATGAAATTAAACACAAAAATAAAGATTTAACTTCTATTAAACAAAAATAAAATACTTTTCTTATAGTGAACAAAAATTACATAGCTTTTAGCATTAATTAGTTAGGTATCTTAAATTTAGAATCACATTTTTTAATCTTTGGTGCGGATTAGCACTTCTTATTTTCGGGTGTGGCAGTATAAATTCGTGGTTTTCCTGGCCGTCGTCGTCATTTTTTTGTTTTATTACTTCTTACAACATGCGGATAGGGTCGAAACGCTTCTGGTGTCAAAACTGACTTCGAAGGATTATTTGATGGATTGGTAAATTATTCAAAGCATCTGGTTCACAGGCATCAAAATCAACCTTAATAAAGATAATAAAAATAGGTATTAATATATATTTACATAGACGATAGCAATGATAGCAACACAGGACAAAGTTAATGCAAATATTAGCAATTAGCACACTAATACAATCTTTCCTACCTACCAGAGGGTTTAGTCAAGATGCCTTATTATTATTTGTATGTAGCAAGTCGAAAACTTAATTTGTATGAAAATGACAGTTCGTGTCGACAAAATATTTTCATACAAATTTAGTTGTACAATTCGTTCAAATGTGCCCCATCTAGTGCTGTCCGAAAGTACCCCACTAACTGAATAACAACAAAATATAACTTATTTTAATATTAAAAGGAAAACGTCATAAATTAAGTATTGGAGACGTATCTTAAGTATATTTTGCTAGTTACTGATAGAATACTCTACACGAAAACTTATTTTATCTACGGTAACAAGAGCAAAAAACATTGATCAAAAAATTACTTACCGAGCGCGAAAACACGTCCATGCCTGAAGCTTCACTCTCATCGGTGCGAATTTCACCAAACTTCGTTGATGTATAGTTCGTACCTCGACTCATGCACACATACAAAAACAAGACTGTACTTTGTTTCGTTCAAGTTTTATTTTGACTGTATGAATGTGCCCCGCGTACGAAGGGTAACGATCTTCCCCTATATCAGTAGAGATTACAAGGGAATCATAACTATATTTGAACAATGGATTAGAAGTCGCTTGGTGAGTAGGAGCCTCAAAATAAGTAAATCTTCTGTAACTTTCAACCAAACATGGTGGGCGTTTGTTTTTCCAATAACTACAATTGGGGATTAAAGATGCCAGGCAAGTCAGTTTAGGTGTTAGGATATGGTTACTGAATTGGATACAACGGAATAGGAATTTATCTGACAGAAATTGCCGTCGTAAGCTTAATGGAGGCTCTACACACTCGACTCTCATACAGTTGATTGGACTTGACTTCATAGCTCCTAGGACTATTCTCATTGCTTTAGCCTGAATACTATACATTTTTTTAAAACCAGAAATATTTCCTGGTTCCAACAGAAAAGTACCGTAATCCATTACACTTCTGATTATGGCGTTGTAAATCAATTTTAAAGAGTGTGAATGCGCTCCCCACCAGATGCCCGATAAGCATCTAAGAATATTCAAATTACGTTCACATCTTGCAGTTACATATTCACAATGGGGTACACCGGTAAGCTTGGAATCTATAACTACTCCTAAGAATTTGACGTCATTAGTCGAGGGAATCAAAACACTATTGAACTTTACATGGACCGGGGGAGGCCTACGCATTCTGGAAAACAACACAACCCTACTCTTGGATACAGATAAGTCTAAACCATTCGAATTAAGCCATGATTTTAAAAATGAAAGGGAAGATGTTAGAGCTTGGCAATTATTTTCAATCGATTTTCCTGATTTGTATATAAGAAGATCATCTGCATATTGTAATACGTTTGCTGATGCCTGCAATGATGTTTCTAAATCATATGTGTAGATGTTGTAGAGCAAGGGACTGAGCACAGAACCCTGTGGTAATCCTTTCCACACAGTCCGGGATAGTTTGACATCTTCGATAAATAAATTAATGTATCTTTCTCTGAGCATATTGATAATAAAGTTTGACAGAATCGGTGGTACATCTAAGCAAAGCAATTTTCCCCTAAGAACCGATATAAGAACATTGTCATAAGCTGAGCTTATATCTAAGAAAGTAGCTACTATCGACTCGTTGTTTGAAAAAGCTAATCTTATGTCCGTAGTGAATATACCTAAGCTATCCATTGTGCTTCTACTTTTCCTAAAACCGAATTGTGACGTTGCTTATAAATTTTTACTCTCTAAAAACCATTCTAAACGGATTTTAACTAGGTGTTCTGCTGTTTTCATTAAAACAGAAGAAAGGACAATAGGTCTGTAAGAAGAAGGATCATCGGCTGGTTTATTGTCTTTTAAAATAGGGATAATAGATTGAGTGATCCAAGACTTGGGAATGCACCCAGAAATCATAATAGAATTTATAATATTTAAGTACAGCATCAGCACACGGTCCGAAAGGTTTTTCAAAAAAGAATATGGAATCCCATCTTCTCCTGGAGTAGAATCTTTTACGTTATTGAGTACACCTTTAAGTTCGATCAAAGAGAATGGAGCATTTAATCCAGTTTGGTCATCGGAAATGTAAGCAGGAATAGATAATGGAGGAAATGCCTGTTCCGGTACAGAAGGGGGTGCAAGATGATCCATGAATTGATCAGCTAGGGTTAGCGGTAATTTAGAAGAGGGAGAATTATTATATGCAGATCTAAATCTACGAATATTACGCCAGACCTCGGAAGGGCTGACGTCTGGGCTAATGGAGGCACAAAATGATTGCCAACCATCATATCTCTTTTTCTTAAACAATTTTTTAGCACTACGGGCAGATTCTAAATATAACTCGAAATTTTCTTCTGACATCTCCTCACAGTAATTTTTTTCAGCCTGTTTTCTTGTTTTTATTGCAGCTGTACATTCATGATCCCACCAGGGAGGCGAAGGAATTTGCGATCGGAACTTAGTTTTAGTGCAAAAAGATTCATCGGCAGCTTCAATCAAAACCTGAGAAAGAATTTCGGCAGAGATCTGATCACCTTCTTGAGAATAAATACTAGTTTTCTGCTCTACTCGTTGGTTGAATAATTCCCAATCAGCGTTGTTTAATCTGTATTTAAAACGAGGAGAGCGAGTGGTTTTGGTAGGTTTGTGTGAAGGAAAAGTAATTACAAGTGGAAAGTGGTCACTACCATACGAAGATGCAAGAGGGTGCCAGTCCAAAGTTGAAGCTAAATCAGGTGAACATAAAGATAGATCAGGCGCACTTGCACCTTCACTTGGACCAGTAACACGGGTTGGCAGCCCAGTGTTTAAAATACAGATACAATGAGAATCTATA